TTGAGTTTGGGAAAACTCAATGGAACGGGGCTCTCTTTTTCTCCTAAGACTAGATTCTTGGGATTGACCTTAGGCTTTAAATTAAACTAAAGCCCAACTACTGCACTTGGGATCCCTCGCTAAGGGCCTCTACAGGAACTGTAGTAACGAGGAGGAAAAGTAGACGGTGGCTCATTCTCTGTGCTCATGCTCAGCTTTGGCATGGAAAAGGCGGAAGCTCCTACCCTTATTTTTAAAGGGACTTGGGCTTGTTTACGTGAGGGTGGGGACATGGAGATCCAATGGCATCACAAAGGGCCCAAGTGACCTAAGCGTACCCTCGGGTGGCCACGTCAACCTAAACCTAAACCAACATAATAAATTTAAGAATTTTAATTCTTGAAAGCAACAAAAATGAAATTTTCAGCAAACAACCAAGTATGTCGTGCAAAGTTAAATTCAAAATATCGAAAAAGAACTTTAATATATTTAAATTAAACTTCAGTTTTAATGGGGTTCAGTGTAGTTAGCTTTTTTAAAGTTAAATAGATGGAAAGTATTGCAAGCGTTTCTTGCTCCACAACCAGTTGGCCAGCAAAAACACGTCTAGTCTAGAATATATTTTATGCTCATACACTTACGTTGGTTTTTTACACCCCAAAAAGCTTTTTTGTTCAAAAAATAAAAAAAGCAAAAAGTAAACAAAAAAGTATTTTATTCCGAATAAAAGGAAGTTTTCTTTTCATACCAATAAAAAAAAGAAAGAGGTTTTTTGTTCTTTTACCCATCAGTTCATGATATCATGATTTCATGATATCAAATTCATAAAGTATTCCGAAATTCATAAAGTATTTTTAAAATTAAATTCGAACCCTCACAAAATACGTTATTTTTCCTTATTTTTGTCATTAAAAATTTTAAAATAATACCAGATTTTTATATTATTTAATACTTTCATAATACAATGACTTGCGTGGAAATTTTATTAAAACTTTTACTTTCAATGCGAATATATGTTAGGTAATCAAATATTCCAAACACAATTCTCAGCTTGTATGATACAACTTTGGCAGTTATTCATAATAAATGTTTATTTAATTGGATTATCTACAATTAATAACAAATTTACTCGTAATGTTTAAGAACAAAATTTTTTTTATGGTGCAATTTGAGTTAAATACAAAATCTAACTAATAACAATAGTACTTAAAAATGAAAACTTCATCCCAAAATAACTACTTTAATATTCTATATATGCATTCTATACATATATATATATGTAGAATGCTTTAAATCTTTTTTTCATTTTAAATTTTGAATTCAGATATTCTTGTAAGGCTTAGGCGGCAAATATAAAATTCAAAATTTATTCCATATTCTTATATTTTAATCAGATAAGATTCTCAAAATTAACATTTCGAAATAAAAAAAAACTTTTTAATTCCTTAATTATTTTGACATTGTAGTTCATATTTTATATATTATTTACTTCGTGGTAAAGTAGAAAAAAGGCAAAAATTGGTAAAAAAAAGTAATTACGAAAAAGTAATAAACAAAGATAATTTAAGAAGACAAAAAGTTAACTTGAAACAAGTAAGTAAAAAGTTTCAGTCGGTATAAACGGATCGATTTATACCCTGAACCTTTGCAATCTGAGTTTAAAAATTTGTTTTTGAAATATATAAAAGTAGCTTTCATTGTTGTATACCAGTTATTCGAACCTGTTAAACCACTCTATAGAAACTTCAAGGATATATCTGACCTATAATTGGAAACACAACTACCAAGTCTAATGAATCGAACTTTATTATTTCTTCGAATATTTTAAATTTGCTTTTGGGGTTGTGTAGCAGTTACCCAAACCTGTCAAGCTATTCCATCAAAACTTCAGGGATATATCGCACATGTGATTGAACACAAGGCCGCTAAAATTCATGAATCCAATTTTATTATTTTTCCGAATATTTAAAATTTGTTTTTTGAATTGAATAACAGCTATCCAAATCTGTCAAGTCATTCCATCAAAACATACACACAAATGCCAAGTTTCATGAATCCAACTTTAATATTTTCCCAAATAATTAAAATTTGCCTTTGGATTTGTACGGCAGCTACCCGAACCAGTGTAGCCATTCCATTAGAGTTTTCAAAATATATATAAAATATAATTAAACACACCTTAGTAAAATTTGATATTAATATCTCTGTTAGTTTTTGAAATATTTAAAAAAAAAAAACTTCTTTGAGTTGTATGGCAGCTACCCGAGCCCGTTGCCCGAACTGGTCCAATTACAATAGCAACTGTCCTTTGTAGAAAAGATCGAGTGGACGGACAGACGGACTGACATATCTTAACCAACGCAGAGTATTACGCTGGGAAGGAATATATATACAAAATTTTTTTACAAAATTAGATATCAACAGGTATTCTAGTTTTTTTACTGTTTCGTTTCAAATTAAAAGTGAAACATCCGCACATATTCATTTCTACATTTTTTATTTAAATGTTCTTGTTAGTTATTTCCATATAGATGAAATGCACGTTTAGAAACATTCAAAACTAGATATGTAAGTGAACTTATTCAGTTCTGATTGATACTAATTGCAATTGGAAAAAGTGTACATCTTACTTAATATAGAAAAATATCTTAAAATTTTAATATTATGTAATATTTAGTAGCAACATTTTAAAATGCTAACTTTTTCAACTATCTTCAGTAAATTTTTTAAACATACTCGTATGTATGCGTATACATTTCTAGAAATCTACACAACATTCAAAAATGTAAATTTTATTAACTTAAACCAATTTTCTATTTCGAATATTGTACGCAAACTGGCAAAAAAAACACACCAGTATTCACTTAGATTTGTGTAGTATAACGCTTTTTCACAACATTATACATGCAAGAATTAATTTATAATACCCTTTGAGCATATTTTATGCAACAAAGTACTCGCACATATATTAGCATATTTTACAATCCACTCTAAGAAAATTAATGAAAACAGTTTTTTTTTTTAAAGTAGCTAAAAAATTTAAAATAAATAACAAAGATAAATTACATTTAATAACTGCTTAAAAATACTTACATTGAGTACTATAAACGTAACAATATTAGTTTAAATTGCTCAAAATAGCGTAACATACAGCGATCATGAATTTTATTATTTTACTAGTACCTCGTAAATTTATGGCGAAAATGAAAATTTCTTTTTAATTCAAATTTTTTTTAATTTTACATTTATATTAAAATAAAATAAGGTGTAGAACTGTGTCATATATAAAATCGGTAGAATATTAGCTATATTTTTATATATTTATATTACTTACTTATTTTCTTTCTTAATATTAATTAAAAATATTATAATAAATGATTATTAAATATTTGTGATTTCAAGAAAATTTTCAAGTTACGTCATGAAAGTTGAAACTTATAACTTTTCAAGCTAATATTCATAATATTCACAATTCACAATATTCAAATATTCACAATATTCTGATTAATTTCTTTTTAGAAAAGTCAATTTTTGTACAATTATTATTTATTATTTCAAATTATATTAAGTAGAATAGAATTTTTAAGTGAACTCTAATCTTAACGAACTGTGACAAATATATTGTTACATGTTTAGTTAATAATTAAAGAATTTTTTATAGTTGTCCTTTAAGCAAAAATTTCTTACTATAAGCAAATTAAGAGGTTGATAAAAACACTCTACTTAAATTAATAAATAAAAAACGAACTTCAGTTTAAATTAACTGTAAGTTATCAGTACATAATTATATTTTTATATAAACATTATTTGAGAGTTCAAACAAGTAAGCTTAAACTTAAAAAAATAATAATTGAAACTCTATTTTTTCGTAGTTTTAGGGAAAAATTAGTTTTGGTTACAAATATGTGAACAAACAAATAGATAGTTTGAGAAAATAAATTTCAAATATAACTAATAACAAGAAAATATAAATATATAAACATATTCCTAACAGTAGTTTTGCCAATAAGCAACATTAATTTCAATTTCATAAAAAGAAAAGATCTATCTATGTTACACATTTTTTAGCATTTTTCCAAAAATTTTTTGAAAAAAGTGCTTCGTGTATCTGTTAACAAAACTTCTACACCCTTGAAAATAGAAAGCTGAAATTTAATACTTGCATAGATCTTTACTAGAAACTTATTTTCGTAGAACTAAATTTTTATCTATCTCCCCCCCCTCTTTAGAAGTTATACCCCCCGAAACCCTAAAAATGCTATTTTTAACTATTTAGTGCAATGAAACCATAAGCATTTTTCAAATTTTGCAAACGCAGAAACGCAGCGGCTTGCTTCCCTTAGCGCGGTATACTATAGGTAAACTTTAGAAAAACAAAATGGCCGTCCAAATTTACCGTTACCTAAAGTCAGTTTTTTCCAAATTTTTGATGTCGTTTATTTTCTAGACCCCAGCCTCTAGAAGCCTGAAATTTTAAGGACTTTTAGACACTAATAAATGCTTCATTTCGTTAGAAGAAAATTTTTTCCATTTCCACCCCCTCTCAAGTTATCGCCTGTTGAAATTTGTAAAATTTGAATTTTTGACGCCTTATATTTTCGAAACCGCAAGCTTTTTCAAATTTCTATAAACGCAAAAAGCTAACAGTAAATTCCATGACATGGAAAAATATAATTATTTTTCTTAACTCACACAATTATCCCTTAAAATCGAGCATTATGTTAAACCCACTTTTTATTAATTTTTGCTTTATTTCAAAGACTGCATAAATCGTTCATCCTAAATATATGCAATCCTAGAAATAGTTCCGTATATGAATGAAAATAATTTTAATAGTGTGATAGGTATACATAAACTGTATTTTAAAAGCAGCATTTTCACTTGTTGAAGGGAAAAGTGCTATAATACAAACCATTGGTTTGACCCTACTTTATCATTTTATTCCAAAATTATCTCATTATATTATTTCCAAATTTATAAAATAATGAAATTTATTTAAAAAAAGGAAAAACAGCACTTACCTTGGATTGAAACGGCATTTTGCTTATTTTTCGATTCAAATTCTTTAGATGTCGATGCAAAGAAATTTTTATCAATTTCAATTGTAATTTGCTGTTCATCTTTTCCTTTGCAATATATTTTAGCAGCATCGGCAGATAATTTGGCATTTTGTGTAATTTCTACTGTTTTCGACATTTTAATTTCAAATGGGGCATTCTGTATTTTTTCAGCATTAGTATAATTAATTTTATTAATTGTACTTTCATTATTAATAATTTCTTGCTCATTTTCATACTGATTTTTCAGTCCAGTTACTTGCTCAAAATCTTTTTTTTCATTTTCTAATTTACCTTTATTCTTAAATTGCACATCTTCCTGACGAGAATTTGAGTCATTTGCTGATGTAAGATTTATATCTTTTAAATCTAATTTTATTAAATTAACTCTACATTCTGATAAAATCCCAAAAGCGCTTAAAAGTTTTGAATCATTTTCATCATCACTGTCACAGTTGTTATTTTCTTTCTCTAAACTAGCAATTTCTTCTGACTCAATAGATTTCTCTATAAATTCATTTATATTTGTTGTTTGTAAAAATGATAATGATAATGAGGATAATCTTGTACTCGAACGAGAAGATGAGGATGTTAAATCAGCCTTTTCTAAAGACGTTTCTGATATTTCATCTGATAATAAATTTGATTTGGATTCAGAAACTATGGTAATTTTGGTTGAAAAATAGTTTTCGTCCACCATTCTGGCATCCTTTTTAATTGACCAAGTTTTGGATATGTTAACCTTAGACCGAGAGTTCGAGGATTCTCCAGTTTTAGAATTGGATGCATTACACCTACTATTATCAACTTCGTTTTCAATATTCTTCAATATTAATGTGTTCATACTTCCCTTTTCCTCTTCAATATGACAACATTTCTCTTGCTCTAATTGGCATTCCAATATATTATCACAATTTTCATTCATTTGAACTTCAGCATTTTCATTTAAAATATTTGGCATTTCCACTGCTAAAGAAGAATTATTCTCATTTTCCTCTTCTACTCTTCCATTGTTTTTTACTTTTTCGTAATCATAATCCCCAGCAATATTGTTTTGTGATAGTAAAGCAAAATTTTCTTGTATTGCGTTTTCTACAGTCATATCATTTTGTCTGGATATTCCAAGCGCATTTTCTATAGTATTTTGCTGTTCTTCATCATAAATTTCATTCGATAGGGTTGATATTGACGATGGTATATTACTGATACTTTCTGAACAAATCAAACTTCCACTATCAAGACTTTGACAAAATTGAAAAATGTTGCTAATATTATTTTGTTCTGATTGAGTAACGTTCTGCAAATTATGTGGATGATAAAGTGGATCATACGATGGAATTATTTGTATGGACTCTATAACTTTAGCAGAATATTTGTCTACGATTGGATTATTTAAATTTTTGCCATTTTGTTGAGTTTCTGTATAATTAGTTTCAGGTTGAACATAAATATTTTGATTAATATTTTGTTCATCCATTTCATTAAAGTTATTGGGGTTTCTATAATTTTGTATATTATCTGCAGGAATAATTGATGTTACTTCTTTTGTTCTATTATTTTGCAAAACTTCTGAGATTATTTGTAGCGGATTACCCACAAGAGACGCTTGTAAATTATTGTAAGACAGCAAATCATTGCTAAATATTGGTGATTGTTGTAAAAGAAAAGAAGAAATATCCTGATTCTGATTTAACAATACAGAATTGTATGATAACTGCTCCAAATTTAAGCATACATTCTCTAAATGCTCAAAATTTTGGCTTTTCAACAGTTTGTTTTCTTTTGGATTTAAAAACGGTAATGTAGATTCTGCAATAGCTGGAATCACATTGTTTGGCAAAAAGGATTCAATGTTTTCAGAATTAACTGAGGTTGCTTTATAGTCTGCTGATGCTAAAATTTTAAAATTTTCTTTCTTTTCGTTACGAACTATTTTTCTTTTTAAATTTTTTTTACCAAATTTTTGTAATCTTTTACAAGGCTTCCTACGAGCTTTTATTATTCTTTTAAAGAATTTTGGTGTTTGAGTTTCTTTATTTTCATATTTTGAAAAAGATTGATTTGCTTCAATATTTATCTTGGAAGCAGAGTTTTTGCATGTACTTAGTGATTCTTGTTCACTGGAATATGTTACGAAATCGTTATTTTCGTTTTCACCTTGAATTAGATTCTCTGGATTCTCCAGAGCGCTCACATTACTTTCTACTTGTACTATATTTAACTGTTTAGAATTTAAACCTTTATCTTTAATGTGAGTAACTAATACATCTCCATAAACTTTCCCATCCATAGAGCCCAACAGGTGTTCTTCAGATATTTTATTTTCGTTAGAATTCGCCTCACACGTTTTCAATTCTTTTATGTCTTTTGGAATTTTATTTTCATGCGAATTGAAATCTTCAACTTTATTTTCGTATTTCCTTTTTGAAAAATTAAAAACTAATTTCTTCCTAGGTCTACCTACATTTGGTCGCTTTTTCTTCACGGCTCTTTTTTTCGGAATTTGTATATCATTGACATCAGTGTTATTCGCCACTTGAATGCTTTGATTTTTTTGATCTCGTGAATTATGATCAAATACATTTTGCTTGCTATTAATCCGCGAAATATCTAGCTTTTCAATTTTAATTATGGGATAACTTAAAACACAATTTTTTAATATTGTGCTTTTATCGTTTATATATTCCAGATTCACTTCTTTAAATTTTACATTTAACGAATTTGCATTCACTTTATTTGCATTTTTGAAATTAACTTGTTTTTTTCTACTGTTTAAACTTTTGGAAAAGTCTGAAACATCTAATCTTGTCAACAAAACAGAACATTTTTTTATTTTATTTGTTTCATTTAATTTTGAGTTACGTTTATTTAACCTTTTGTTTTGCCGGACCACTTTGTTTTTCGACATTTTATTCAATTTTTACTCACTTATTTGTTAGATGTGTGCATAATTTAGAATATCATCGAAGGAATTCAAATTATTTTTCTATTATTTTTACGTTTTATTCCAACATTATATAGCTTATTTGATTTAAATTTATTTTTAGTAAATATATCAAAAATCGCGGAACACCATTATAGTAAAGCACAACACGTCTTTACGTAAACGCAATTGTTTCCAAAATGATAGTCAAAATAATTCATTCAAAATACAATTGGGAGATTTTATAAACATCAACAATATTTAACGAAACAAATGAAAAATGAATTGTACCAGATGTACCAACATTAGAAATTTGATTTATCTGTCAAGAGAACCTGAATATATATACCATAATGAAAAATTGACATTATTTTGACTTACAACTGCCAACCTCTTACGGCTTATTTACACACTTTCTTTTTTGCTATTTTATGTAATATTCATAAAAATTTTTTTTCGCTTAAATCATATAATATCTTAACTGCAATTGTAATCGGAATTTTATATGAGTATGAGTATAAGGTTCTGTTTACATAAACTAGAAATTCTAAGATTAAATCTATGATAAAATCTGATGATTATTTAGGTAACAGACTGCACCGAATTATGATTCGATTACCTCTGTGATAATGAAGCAATTACCAAAAAAGAGTAATACAATGTTGACTTTTTCATGAATTCTGCATTAAACCTTTAAATGAAACCAAGTCTTATAGACCAATTTCTCAGCTACCAGTTTTGTCGAAACATATTGAAAAGTTATAAAAACTAAAATGAACAGGACCTATAATTGAGGAGAGGTCATTAATTCCGAGCCACCAATTTGGGTTTAGAGCTGAACATTCAACTACTGATCAAATTCATAGAATTACAAATATTATTGAGCAAGCCCTAGAGGAAAAGCAAACTGGTGCAGCAATTTTTGTAAAAGTGGCACAGGTTTTTGACAAGGTTTGGCACGAAGGATTAATATACAAATTAGAAAAAATATTGCAATATGTAGATATTCTCACCTCTTATTTAACCGACAGATTATTTAGAGTCAAACAGGAGGGGAACTATTCCACATTTAGAGAAAAAAGAGCAAGTGTGACTCAGGGTAGTATTTTGGGTCCAATACTATATCTACTCCTTACAAGAAATGTGTCTCAAATAGAAAACACAATTGTGGCTACATATACTAACGCTCCAAGAAAGTTGCAGCCGGCAAGCAATAGTTATGATACTTATATCAAGAAATGGAAAAAAAAAGTAAATGAAACAAAATCTGTATAAGTAAATTTTATAAATAAAGTTCTTGTAAACCCCCCACGTGTTAATTTGAATGGGGTAAATGTTGCGCAGGAAAATGCGGCAAAATATTTAGGAATGACACTGGATGTTAAGCTAAAATGGAAGGAACGTGTTACCCAGCATTTACACGTACAAGTTACTTGCAAGAAAGTTGCAATACATACAAAAATTTTACTAACACATTGAAATATTTCTACTTGCTTGTTTACTTGCAGTTCAACTTGCAAGAAAATTTTGCTGCCAGTAATTTGAGCAAGTAATTTGACATATTGAGAAATTCACAAAAAAAAATTTGTTTTGATTTTTTTTAATTTAAAATTTTTGAATTTTGTTTTGAAAAAATTAAACTTAGCAAACTTATGGTTTCTAAAATTTATAAACAATTATATATATTGCTAGTTGTTTTCTTCTCAAAGACATTTTCAAAAATTAACTTGCTAAACGCCTACGTCATAATAGCAAGTAATTTGACATTTCGAAAAACCAATTGACAATTAATATTATACAAACTTGCATGCAAGTAACTTGTATGTGTAAATGCTGGGTTAGGAAGAAAAAGGTATAATTAAAATTTTAATATAAAGATACATGTCCAACGAATACAAGCATTCCAGAATAGGGTTTTGCGGAATATGGTTGATGGAGATCGGATTTTACTTGGAAATTTAATTTTTGAAGAAAAATTATAGCAATATAAATCAGCAGTATTTTACTCTTAGAAATTCTTACAGTAAATCTGATGAGAATAATGTCGTTTCTATTATTTGTCGTCAGATAACGTCTGATGTTAAATATTGTTTGCAGATAGAACTTTCATTAGACTTTAATTTCATCCTAGACTTTGTTCCAGATCTACAGGTGTGTTTTATTTTTAAGTTCAGAAATGAAAGACGACATTTCAAACATTTTTTTTAAAATGCAATTTTTATTTAGAAACAATATTATCATATAAAAGTTTAACTTAAAAATTCTAATAATAAATTTATATGCCTTTTCAATTCTTAAACTAATGAATTCTAACTTAATTGCACATTATGTAAGTTACTATACTTTATTATATTCGAATGTAAGAAACCCAATTTTATTTCGTCGTTACAATTTTATATAGGCACACTTTAACAACAATATGTTATTATTATTCGAATACACAAGCATCCATCTTTGGAATTTAAATTCATGCTACTGCTATTAATATCTTGTTAACTAACTCTCCTAAAAAGAGCTATATTTATTATGATCGTTACTTAATTATCATTAGCAACATTTTCAATCTCTTTGTATTGCAGGATGAAGATTCTGTGTCAGGAATTTAAATGAAAAGCTACCTGAGTTACCTAAGAGATTCATGAGGCAAAATTTATTATTTTTGAATAAGCAATCAAGTTAAAATTTAATTCTGTTTAATAATCAAAGGTGAAGATTTATCTTGAAAATTAAGATTTTTTGGCCATATTTTTTGTGGAGAACACAAGATTTTTAAAATTTTTATACAAAAATATCTTTAAAATTAAGGTTTTTTAATGCTACTGAAGTTTTTCAAAATTATGATTTTTTGCACTTTTTCCATAATTTCCAAAGTTCGCAGAAATATATTTTGACCAAAAAGTCAATTTAATAGACAGCGTATAGTAACGTTACTTCTATGATAGAAAATTTTTGATATTCTACGCTTCATTTAATTCTATATTAATCGACTTGTCGCAATACGGCTTATGATATCAAACTATATCATTGTGGAAGTCATAAATTTTTGTTTTTGATGTCTGATTTAGTTCGAATTGAAATCGTGATATTTTGGTTTCCTACTTTTTTTAATTTAATTTTAACTGAAGATCTCGAAGCTTTCGTGGAAATTTTTTTTATCGAATCTTCAAAATGAAGATTTTACCTCAAAAAAATTAAGATATTTGAGCTAATCTATTTGGCGCCACTGTTGATGAAGACTTTTTTTCTTCATTCTACACATCATTCTTTACTTAATTTATCTTTATAGTATAGTATGTCTACTGTACACATATCTTTATACAAACATATAGATTTGTATAGATTTGTATAAAGAAGACAATCTTTGTGTTTACACATCAAATTATTTTTCAAATTATAATTTAATTTATAAATTATTAATATTAATTTATAAATTAAATTATTTTTTATAGAAAAAAAAACAGTTTTTTTTCTATAAACTATATACACAATGATTCTAATTAATTTTCGTATTTTTATTTTTTATACTGCAATTTTTATAACTAAGAATGACGTTTGCATTTCAATTATAATCAAAACAACAATTTTTTAAATAACTCTTTGGGTGTCGTCTGACGATTTGATGTATTAAGTATGTTTACACTGTTACACATCATGCAAAATTTGACGACCAAATTTGACAACCATGAAGTTGGTCACGAAAGTGTGTTTACACATCAAACTTATTTGATCAAATATACTGTCAAATTAAATTTTAAAGCGAAAATTTTTCAGCATGAATGCTGCTAACATGTCATTCCATGGCAAACCATAGTTAGTTATGCGTTTTACCGCAAAAACCTCCTTATATTCTGATACTAGTCCCCTTACACCAACCATCAAATATAGGAACCAATACATTTCTTTATATTAAAATTTTAATTCTGCCTTTTTCTTCCTAACACTCCTAACACACGTTGCTTCCATTTTAGCTTAACATCCAGTGTCATTCCTAGATATTTTGCCGCATTTTCCTGCGCAACATTTAGCCCATTTAAATTAACACGTGGGAGGTTTACAAGAACCTTATTTGTAAAATTTACTTGTGCAGACTAAGTTTCATTTACTTTTATTTTCCATTTCTTGGTCCAAGCATCAAAACTATTCCTTACCGGCTGCAACTTTCTTGTGTCGTCGTCAATATTTGATGCTACCGCCATAGTCGCAGTATCGTCAGTATATGTAGCCACAATTATATTTTCTAATTGAGGCACTTCTCTTGTAAAGAGTAGATATGGTATTAGACCCAAAAAACTGCCCTGAGGCACACCTGCTCTTATTTCTCTAAGTGTGGAATAGTCCCCCTCCTGTTTGACTCTAAATAATCTGTCAGTTACATAAGTGGAGAGGATATCTACATATTGCTTTGGTAGTATTTTTCTTACTTGTATATTAATTCTTCGTGCCAAACCTTGTCAAAAGTCTGTGCCACGTCTAAAAAAATTGCACAAATTTACTTTTTCTCTAGGACTTTCTCAATAATAATTATAATTCTACGAATTTAGTCAGTAGTATGAATATCCAGCTCTAAACCCAAATTGGTGGTTCGGAATTAATGAACTCTCCTCAATTATAGGTCCCATTCTTTTTAGTAATAACTTTTCAAAGGGTTTCGACAAAATTGGTAGCAGATAAATTGGTCTATAAGACTTGGTCTTATTTGAAGGTTTACCAGGTTTTTGTATCATTATAACTTTTGCCACCAAATATTTGGCACATATTTTAACCTTAATGAAAAATTCATTAAAAAAGTCAACATTGTTATACCCTTTTTTGGTAATTGCTTCAGTACCCCAGAGATAATTAAATCATAGCCCGGTGCTTTCCTTGACTTTAAACTTTTTATTTCTTTCACTATTTCTCTTTGTGATAAATGGAGCGATAACGTCCTCTGCTCTCATTTCAGCCAATGCAAATATTTCAGCCTTATCTTTATTTTCTATTATCCA